GAGCCACATGCTGTTTGCGAGCCAGTTTAGATGCCCCTGGAAGTTAACCCCAATTGCACATCAAGTGCCAGGAAATGCTCCTGTTCTTTGTCACACATTCATTGGAGTTTTGCTGAAATAAGGCCTTGTCTACCCCGGGATTTTAGCCACTGGCATAGCTGCATGAGTGTAAGCCCTTACAGAAGACATTATTTACACCCAGAGAGTGCAATTAGCCCCACTGGGCAAACTCTAGGGGTTTGCAACAGTGTATCCATATTGATGGCTAAAAACCCAGTATAGACATGGCCCAGCTATCTTCACTCTCTTCTCTGCAGAAAACGGAAACGGCCTTTGTTATCTCAGCTTTCTTGGCTTCAATACATTCTAGCATACTTCTGTCTCTGACTGAGACACTTAGCAAAGCACAGAAGAGAAGGAGTTGTATAAGTACTAAAAAGTCATTTTGGGAGCTAGCCAAGAGTGAAGTAATAATAAAAAATAATAAACTAAAAATACATTTATACAGCTGCCTTTACAAAATGGCCCTGGGTAACTAGCAGTTCAGACACAAAAGCTGCCTCTAACATACACTCCACTTCATTTTTTTATTTAAAAATTAAAACAGATTAATTTCCTCAAATATCAAGAAACTTATTTCAACTTTGTTGTATAAACATTAAAAAGCACAAGCCCCAAACAAATGAGTTATACTTAAGACCAGCCAACAAATTCACAGAGTAATATACAATCAGGTACTCCAGATACAATAGAACAGTGGTCCTCAAACTATGGGGTGCGCCCCTGAGGAGAGCACGGAGGAACATTCAGGGGGGCACGGCAGGACACAGGCCAGTCCCCCACAGGGGGTGGGAGGAAGCACCACCCAGCCCCACTCTGTCCCCAGCTCTGTTCCGGTCCCAGCTCCCAGACGTGATTCCACTTCTAGCCCCACCCCCCAGCTGCGGCCCCGACCTTGGCTCCTGGCTCCCGGCCAGCTGTGGCTTCACACCTGTCCACAGCCCCGGCTGCCAGCTTGGCTGCAGTTCAGCTCCCGGCCCCAGCCTTGCCCCCAGCCTCCAACCCCGACCACGGCCCAGCCACGACTCCGCTCCTGGCCCAGCCCCACTCCCAGCCACAGACCCATCCCCAGGTTAGGCCCAGGCCTCAGCCTCTGGATCCCAGCCCAGCCGTGATATCAGCACCAGCCTCAGTCCCCGGCCCCAACCATGGCCCTGCTCCCTGTCGCAGCCCCGGCCCTGGTTCCCAAACATCACTGTGGGGTGTGTGTGTGTGTGTGTGTGTGTGTGTGTGTGTGTGTGACGAGGAG